CCCCAAGCCGGAGCCCCGTCAAAATGAAGTCAGATGTTTTCTTTCACCTCCTGCCTTTCCACCTTAAATCTCAGCAGCACTTGGCAGCCCCGGAGAACTGAGCACTAAAGGGTCTTTAAGACACTTTTCTAAATGATGAATTTAAGATGTTGTGTCTGTCCCTGGCAGTGGGAACACACAGAGCTCCCTGTGACAGGTGAGGAAACTCTAAGATGATGGCACACGTTTGGTGATAGGTTAACCAGGCTGCAAAAAGCACATTATTTCCCCTAAAAGCAGAACAAAACCACTGCTCCTACCCCACTGCAGCTCCCACCCCGACACACGAAGGGACACCACCATCAGGATTTGCTCCTGGTTAATCTGCTGGCTGTGAACACAGCAGTTTGCAAAGTCAGAGCCATTTGGGAATCATCACAGTCGTTAATAACTTCAGGGAATAATAGTTAATAGCGTTGGAAGGTGCAACTGAACACATAAGCTCTAAGCAGTATCTTAAACCAGACCTATTTTGGGTAAAGCCTGGTTTTAAAAGCAGCTGAAGGGCAAACCGAAATATCTTCCACTGGAAATCTCAGTGGGGAATTCGTACTGGTTTGGCTCCCTCAGAGCAGTAGCTGAAGCCAGTGGGACTGGTGGAGAGACCTGACCACAGCATCGCTGCTCAGGAGAAAATTCCAGGCTCCTTCAACCCCTGATCTCATTCCAAAGAGAAAACCTCACTCGGGGAAGCTGTGGGGCTACGGACCAATGGACCCAGAGGCTTAGAAAACGATGATGTTTCCTCTGGTGAATGCAAAGTATGATGTGCAGAATTCCCAGGCATGTCAGAGAGGGCAAAGACTTTCAACTTGTGTTCACACAAGCCTTCTGACCTCCCCGTTTGGGAGTTTGTGACCCTATGAGTAACCCTGCTCATCAGCTTTGCCTCCAACTATGTCAACGCCAGCTGCTAACGAGATAAAGCAAAGATTAAGAAGAGGAGGGAAGCTGAGGAGGAGGGGGGAAGAGTTGAAACATTTGACAGCGAGCTGTGACTGAAAAGCACTTCCCCAATGGCATTTTAAAAATTTACAGCACATCACCTTCAGCCTTAATCCCGTTGCAACGAAACCAGCAGAAGAAGAACCCTTCAGCTGCCACTGATCTTACAGGGATATGAGAAAACCCAGCCTGGTTTTGTGGAGTAAAACCAACAGGGTGGTACTGAGTTGTTCATAAAATTCAGGCAGTGACAGGGAGGGGAGAAGCACAGACACATGAACATGTAGAGCTGGGGGTGAGAGCAGCCACTGCCCAGAAAACACAACACTATCTTCTACCACCAGGACAGAGCCCCAGGGACAGCCAGGCTTAGTGCAGGCACTTAAAAAGAAAGCTATTCTTCTATTTTACCTTTTTTTAAAACCAACAGGGTGGTACTGAGTTGTTCATAAAATTCAGGCAGTGACAGGGAGGGGAGAAGCACAGACACACGGACATGTAGAGCTGGGGGTGAGAGCAGCCACTGCCCAGAAAACACAACACTATCTTCTACCACCAGGACAGAGCCCCAGGGACAGCCAGGCTTAGTGCAGGCACTTAAAAAGAAAGCTATTCTTCTATTTTACCTTTTTTCCCCTGATGAGGAAAGGCTGAGAGAGCTGGGACTCTTCAGCCTGGAGAAGAGAAGGCTGAGGGGAGACCTTATTAATGCTTATAAGTATCTACAGGGTGGGTTGAAGGAGGATGGAGCCGGACTCTTTCCAGTGGTTCCCAGGGACAGGCCGAGGGGCAACGGGTACAACCTAAAACATGGGAAATTCCTCTCAAATCTGAGGAAGAACTTCTTTCAGGTGAAGGTGGCAGAGCCCTGGCAGAGGCTGCCCAGGGAGGGTGTGGAGTCCCCTTCTCTGGAGATCTTCAAGCCCCACCTGGATGGAGTCCTGAGTGATGTGCTCTGGGCAGCCCTGCTTTGGCAGGGGGTTGGACTGGATGATCTCTAGAAGGTCCCTTCCAACTCTGACAATTCTGTGATTCTGTGATTCCCCCACCAGTTCAGCATCTTTAGCCATCAGAACACAGCAACTGCTGTGAATGCTGCTGCTTTTCCTGTCAGTGGATGCCTTCCTCCATACACAGCTCCCAGGACATGGGGAACACGACCTCTCCGACACCTCTTTCTCCTGAGAGATCCTTCTGGTGAGTCAGGCTCCTGCTACACCAACTGCTTCAGTCTCATGAGTCATTTTCCTGATGGTATGGGAAGATGAAGCACCCCCACAGCATCAGCACAAGCTCTCCCTCAATTATCCAATGTGTTCAACTCATTAGTCAACCTCCAGTGCTTAGCTAATGGAAAAGCAGAGCCCTCCAAAGCTTTTATGATTAATCCCCGAAGCATCTCGGAGTGAAGTGACCTCCGTCTAGACTAAGGCATCTTTTCTTCCAGGCCTCTTTTTTTGAGGATTCACTGTGGCTTTTGGGGAAGCAGGCGTCTGCCAAAGCCATCACTGCTGTTCCATGAGCTCGCCTCGTTCCCCGGAGCAACAACAGGAGCACCATTGATGGAGGCAGCTCGGGATCCCTCCGGAAAGTCTCCTTTTCCCTCCTTCACGCCAAGTGAAGCAAGGTCAAGGGGAAGAAGAGAATTTCAGCTTTCACATCCCACATCCCCACCCTCGCACAGGAGCCCTCCGTGGAAGAATATGTTGGGAGACCCTTCCCAAATCAGCAGCTGGGATGGAACTGCTAGAATAATTTTGCTGTGAAGTGACCAAGGAGGCTGTATCCATTGTTTCAGATCCCAAACAAAGCCAAGGCTCAGCCATGGAAACCACACTGGGGTACAACACATCCCGGATTCCCTCTCTGCTTAAAATAAGACCTGTGGTCTGTGGTTACTGGACGGGCTCTTTCGATAAATTTTGACCAAGGGCAACCACTGAACTCACTCACTGAAACACCCGAGCATCCCAACCCCAGGAGATGTTAGCTGAGTCACCACAAATACTTTCCAACCTGAAAAGCTGAAGGAAAAAACCCATGTTGTTGGGTTTTTTTAATTTGAAGGGCTCAGCCCAACTTCTTTCCAGTCCCCCAGCTCTTCACTCTTCAGAAATCTAACAAGCCCACTGGAAGGCGATTCGAGCCTTTTGCTTCTGTCATCTCCCCAAGAGTCTCAACCTCAACCCAGTCTAGATTACCAGCCTAACCCAGTCACAAGCCACTTTTCCCCAGTGACCAGCCCACATCTTCCTCCCTTCAACCCTTCCATCACTTCCAGTACTAACCCCCCATTCCCGCAAATATTTCCGCACAGTTATCATGGTTATTTCGTCATCCCATGGCTAAACTGTGCAGAAATCTCTTGATAGCTTTCCTTAGAAATCCACCCATTTCAAGCTGTGGTTGGAAGCCCTGTTCATCTCCAAATCCAAGCCTCCTCACTGACCCCAGCTCTTACACCAGGCACCTCCAAATTGCTCCCAGAACCAAAGGGGAGGGAAAGAAAACTCAGCAATTTAGTGCTACGAGCCAACAAAGTCACAGAATCACAGAATCTTCTAGGTTGGAAGGGACCTTAAAGATCATCTTGTCCAACCGTCAACCTCACTGACAAAAATAGACACCCACACAACAAACAAGGAGCATCATCACTAAACCAGACCTCCCAGCACTACATCAACCTGCCTTTTGAACACCTCCAGGGATGGGGCCTCAACCACCTCCCTGGGCAGCCCATTCCAAGGGCTGAGAACCCTTTCAGTGACAAAATTGTTCCTAATATCCAGCCTGAACCTCCCCTGGGGCAACTTGAGGCCGTTTCCTCTTGTCCTGTCGCCTGTGACTTGAGAGAAGAGACCGACCCCCATCTCTCTGCACCCTCCTTTCAGGGAGTTGGAGAGAGCAATAAGGTCTCCCCTCAGCCTCCTCTTCTCCAGGCTGAACACCCCCAGCTCCCTCAGCCTCTCCTCATAAGACTTATTCTCCAGACCCCTCACCAGCTTTGTCACCCTTCTCTGGACCCGCTCCAGCACCTCAATGTCTTTTTTATGGTAGGGGGCCCAAAACTGGACACAAGGGCGTTAAGGTCTATGAGTACAGCACACATCCTGCCTCCCTAAATTAATTCTTAGGAATATAACAAACCAGTTTTCAGTTCTGAAAAGTGATTGTGGAACAGGTGTCATGTGTTTTTTTCCTTGCGCTATGAAAAACCCCTTCAAGTTCTCATTACACACATAAAAATCTGAAAGCTGCAGCTTTAGCCAGAGTCTAAAAGCACCGCCAAGAGTTTGCTTGAACCACAGTGTGCAGCTGGGATAACCCATAACGTGGAGTGGAGGACACCCCCGTCCCCAGAAGGTTCTTGACCTTCATTTGAAGCCCGTTTACCTCGATTTGGTTAAGCAACGAGTTGTCAAACTTGAAGCCAGGGATTCTCTTTTCACTGCAGACCACTCCCACGTCCTCGGTGTGTTTGCAGTCCGTCACTCCCCAGCCGTTGGAGGTGCAGGCTGCCAGGGTGGTCTCCTTCCCGTTACAGTGGACATTGTCCATCCAAATTTTCCCTGAAAGGGGTAAGAGAACAGAACTGAGACTCGCAAAGAGGATAAACCTCTGAGAAAGAGGACAAAACACTCATAACTGATAGGAAAGGAGAGGGAATGGCTTCAAACTCCAACAGGGGAGGTTTAGATTGAACATTAGGAAGGAATTTTTCACCCAAAGAGTGGTCGGGCATTGGAACAGGCTGCCCAGGGAGGGGGTGGAGTCACCATCCCTGGCTGTGTTTAAGGGCCGTTTAGATGCAGTGCTGAGGGACATGGTGTAGGGGAGGACTTTGTAGAGTAGGGGAGATGGTTGGACTCGATGATCCCAAGGGTCTCTTCCAACCTAGATGATTCTATGATTCTATGAAAGCAAGGCTGCTCTGTACTTACTGTGTCATGGAAAGAAATTATGGCTAAAATAAGCTGGAATAAAACAGTTAAGGAACATCAATGATCCACCTAAAGTACTTCCTAACTGAAAACAGCTCTTGCCCCACAGCTTTCCCTTTCCCTTATCAGTCTCTTCTTCCAAGTTACAGATGATAGGACAAGGGGTAATGGCTTCAAGTTGCGCCAGGGGAAGTTCAGGTTGGATATTAGGAAACATTTCTTTACTGCAAGGGTTATCCAGCATTGGAATGGGCTGCCCAGGGAGGTGGTGGAGTCACCATCCCTGGAGGTATTTAAGAAACGTGTAGACATGGCTCCTCAGGGCATGCTCTAGTGCCCAAGATTACTGGTTTGTGGTGGGGTGCTGTGTGGGTGGGTGATGGTTTTTGGTTTGGTGGTTTTTTTTTTTTTGGTGGTTGGACTCGATGATCTCTGAGGTCCCTTCCAACCACTACGATTCTGTGATTCTGTGATCTATATGGTAATAAAAAATACCCCCAGCCTGATGCAGACCTGCAGTGATAACCAACCTCCTCTGATGGCAGCCACTTCAGAGCATGAAGTGTCACCAGGTCCCTTCGATTTGGCTGATGAGACCCTGCCCCCTAATCACAGCCACCAATTCAGCCCTTCTGTATTGAAGGCTTCTCTTTACATCATTTCTCATTTACCAAATCCTCGTGAAATCTCTTACAGGAGACAGCTCAAAGTTTTGATTAAATGCCCTAACCTTTTAAAAGCAGATTTTTGCAAAAGCTTTAACAAACAGCTATTGATGGGAACCTCCTGTTACTTGGGTGCTCTTTGAAAACAAATTGCCAGATTCTGTCTAACCACTACGATTCTGTGATTCTGTGATCTATATGGTAATAAAAAATACCCCCAGCCTGATGCAGACCTGCAGTGATAACCAACCTCCTCTGATGGCAGCCACTTCAGAGCATGAAGTGTCACCAGGTCCCTTCGATTTGGCTGATGAGACCCTGCCCCCTAATCACAGCCACCGATTCAGCCCTTCTGTATTGAAGGCTTCTCTTTACATCATTTCTCATTTACCAAATCCTCGTGAAATCTCTTACAGGAGACAGCTCAAAGTTTTGATTAAATGCCCTAACCTTTTAAAAGCAGATTTTTGCAAAAGCTTTAACAAACAGCTATTGATGGGAACCTCCTGTTACTTGGGTGCTCTTTGAAAACAAATTGCCAGATTCTGTCTCTGTAATTAGCATTTTCCCTCCAGCAAAAAGCATGTGCACATGAACAAGCACGTGTATACGCATATAGAGATTCTATTTTTTAAAAAAAAATCACATCTCTCAGAACTCACTTTTAAGATGAGCAGGCAAAAATCAGTGTCACCTCCAAGCTTTAGGTCATGTTTTCCCAGAAACTGCCAAGAGCAAAAGACCCAACAGCATCTCTGAGATTCCTCTTTTCAAAGAGCTCCTTTTCCCTTTGGGAATGTGCTGGGCACACGCCTCTCCCCAGGGATTTACCCCCTAAACTGCAGGGAGCGAGGGCCAACAAGCAATTACCATATTTTAGGATCCCAAACGCTTTGCTTGTCTGAAGAATAACACGTCCTTTGGACAGAAAGGACCGTCTGACCTTCAGAGCCACCAGGAGATTCCGTAGCTGTTTCCCTTGGCTGGCCCAGCTTCGTTCCAGCACCCTAATGAGTTCCCTTGGCTAATTACCGGAGGATGGAGCCGTCAGCCCTCACCGTGCTTCCCAACAGGAGAGCAGAAACAGCTCCTGCAAAGCATGGATTTGTGGTTTGAAGAAATCACGATCCCCCCTTCAAGGGTTTCTCTGCCCCAGGATTTACCCAGCGCTATCCCGGCGTGAGGAGAAGGCTCGTTAAATCCCACGGCAATCAGTTTTTTGGGTTGTTTTCAAATGTCACGGCCTCTTTTCTTGCTGGGAAATCTCCTACTCTGCCCCAAGAGCCAAAATCCACAGCTTGGGACAACATTCAAGGTTTCGCATTTCAGTCGAGTCGCTGTTAAATCCTCCCCTTGCTCTTTTTACGGGCCAGTTTATAGGTGTGAGCGCTAACGAGCGGCGCGACGTAACAGACACCCAGCACGTCCATCCCCACTGCGCTGGAAATAATCCGTCTGCGGGTCACATCACCAGCCTGCCAGGCTCTGGTGTTTGCAGACAAAATTCTCCGTAGGTCAACATTTTACAGAATCACATGGGGTTGGAAGGGACCTCTGGAGATCATCCAGTCCAACCCCCTGCCAGAGCAGGTCCCACAGGAACCATATCCAAGTGGGTTTTGAATGTCTCCAGAGAACCCCACCACCTCTCTGGGCAGCCTCTGCCAGGGCTCTGCCATCCTCAAAGTAAAGAAGTTCCTCCACATGTTTAGGTGGAACTTCTCATGTTCAAGTTTGTGCCCATTCCCTCTTGTCCTGTCCCTGGGCAACACTGGAGATGAGGAGAGGGTTCTTCACTGGGAGGGTGGTGGAGCACTGGAACAGGTTGCCCAGGGAGGTGGTTGAGGCCCCATCCCTGGAGATATTCAAGGAGAGGCTCGATGAGGCCCTGGGCAACCTGCTCTAGTTGGGGGTGTCCCTGCTGACTGCGGGGGGATGGGACTAGATGGCCTTTGGAGGTCCCTTCCAGCCTGGGCAATTCTATGATTCTATGAAAAAAGACCAGCCCCATCCTCCTGACACCCACCCTTTCAGTATTTAGAGGTGTTGATCAGATCCCCCCTCAGCCTTCTCTTCTCCACACTCAAAAGCCCCAAGTCTCTCAACCTTTTCTCGTAAGAGAGATGCTCCAGGCCCCTCCTCATCTCTGGAGCCTCTGCTGTCCCCTCTCCAGCAGTTCCCTGTCCTTCTGGAACTGGGGAGCCCAGAACTGGTCCCAGTGCTCCAGCTGGGGCCTCTCCAGGGCAGAGCAGAGGGGCAGGATGACCTCCCTCCACCTGCTGCTCACACTCTTCCTGATGCCCCCCGGGATGCCACTGGCCTTCTTGGCCACCAGGGCCCATTGCTGGCTCATGGGCATCCTATTGTCCACCAGGACCCCCAGGTCTTTCTCCTCAGAGCTGCTCTCCAGCAGGTCACCCCCAACCTGTCCTGGTGCAGGGGGTTATTCCTCCCCAGGTGCAGCCCCCTACGCTTGCCCTTGTTGAATTTCACCAGGAATCTTATCATCATTTGAATGCCATCAACATTTAACTAACAGCACATCAAAACACAATAACTAAATCTTCTGAGTTATGTAATATTATGGAGCTTTTCTCTCTTGAGCATTGGGGGTTTAAGAATTCATTGCTATAACACACAAAGTCTTTGTTGAGCACATATTTGGGAATGAAGTACAATAAGGCGCAATCTGCAATTGCCCACACAACCCTGGAGGGGTTCAAGGGCAAGTTGGAGGGGGCTTGGAGCAACCTGGGCTGGTGGGAGGTGTCCCTGCCCATGGAAAGGGTTTGGAACGAAATGGTCTTTAAGGTCCCTTCCAACCCAAACCATTCTACGATCAAAGAGGAAGCTACTCACCAGGAAGCTATTGCAGGAAATATCACTAAAACTTAAATTTGATCAACAGGTCAGAAATTTTGGGGGGGTGGAGAGGCAACAGGACGATTTCATTGCTCTGGAGTTCCCTTACCTTCCCCTTTTCCATATTTCGAGCTCGGCAGCCACGACACCGCCTCCACGTAGCCCAGCTCCCTGCAGACCACGTGGGCAGCGTGGATGGAGAAGTCATCGTCGCAGACCGTGCCCCACTCGCCGTTGTAAAACACCTCCACTCTGCCTTCGTTGTGTTTCCTCTTCTGCCCCGCGAGCCGCAGCTGGATTTTGGGAACGTTCGCCGGCCTCTGGGGGGGCTGATAGACTTGAGGAGGTGGCTCAGGGTAACCGGGGAGGTAGGGCCAGTGTTCGTACTGGGCAAGGCCCAGCGGGCTCAGGGAGATGAAGAACAGCACGAAGAAACAGTGGTTATGGGTGAAACCCAAGAATGGTTCCATTTTCGGTGCCCACAGGTCTCAGAGCCAAGTCCTCTGCCAGTCAGTGCAGGTGGGTACCAGGGGCCGTCCTGAAAGGAAAGGAAACTTTTGAGTGAGGTTTGATAACAACATGGACTTTATATCTCTTGCTTCAGCTGGGGAGAAAGCTGTGGAAAAGATGATGTACAATGTCGCCTGTAAAAACTAAAATCAAGTAAATTCCTTCTTGGGTGGTGGAACAACAAGCTGATGCTCCACCACCCACCATGAAAACTAAGTTTTCAGCCAACTTGCTAAGTAGTGTGAGATGGAAAATACCTCTTCCAGGGCAAAATTCCAGGGCGGGTCCAGAGAAGGGCGACAAAGCTGGTGAGGGGTCTGGAGAATAAGTCTTATGAGGAAAGGCTGAGGGAGCTGGGGTTATTCAGCCTGGAGAAGAGGAGGCTGAGGGGAGACCTTA